TGCATGGATATCAATTGTAAATATAGAATCATATTAAATATATATAGATATGGATGTCAAGCAGTCCGTTATATTCCTTTAGGCTTTTCGTCGACTGAAGGTTCAGGAGCTGGAAATCCGCAAAGTGTCTCCACGGAAACAGCAAAATCGGAAATTCTAACCACAACGTCCGACATTCCAACAACAACATCGGACGCTGTGACGTCACCGTTTATACAATCAACTAGTCAGAATTTAACTTCTCCTGGGTGTTGTTTTTGTGGGAACAATACAACAAAAAACTACCGTATTTTGACTTTACAGGAGCTCAGGGACTTGACAATGATAGACAAGAAAAACACTTCAATCGCGATCAGAAAGTTGACAAGTGCCCGAGATGACCGATTGTCCGCCATTGGAATAGGGTATTGTGGAATTGCGGTTTTATGTACAGTGTTTGCAAGTATCATGTCGATTGACTTGTCAGAATATTGCTGTAAGAGTGCAAAGGTTAGTCCGAAAAAGTAGATGGTTCAATTGTCTATGTTTTTTATCTATGTGTTTTGTTATTCTAGATATACATTTGTTTACCTGTAAATTACAAGACATCAATGCTGTTGTGAGTAACTTTGTCGTCATTTTAACAAACAATGACATAATATGCTATAACTTACCAACTCATTGTATTTGCTTCATCATTTTAACTGTAATCTTAGTTTGCAAAGTTTTTTAAAAAAAAAATGTGTATTTTTAAAAGATACATTTTGATCAATGTATTGAATTGGGAATAAAATTCAGTTAAAAAATAAACCTTGTATTTTGATCGGTTGACATAGAGAAACTGGAATTCTGTTAATTATGCTATAATGTTTTACAGGTGCGAGCTTTAAATAATAATATTACAAATACACTAGACGTGTCCAAGATTTTGTTAGTTAACGTTCAAGTATTAACATATAGATCCAATGGATTGTATAACAGACAAGAGATGAGAACCGTCAAGTATGAAAAGAATAATTAGGTACAGTATAGATTAATGAGTGAATGAATGAATACAACTGCATCATACAGCTGTTTTGCCCATTCTAGGACTCATCATTAATGTCAAGGGCTAAAACGTGTGTAAATTAGGAAGGTGAGTTAGAATGATTGAAATCGACTTCAAGAGAGGAACAATAAATATTAAAATAATGATGAGGGATCATTTATCACATAATATTAAGTATAAGTAACATGTATAAGAACCAAAATGTGTTTAAGTCAATATAGTCATTTTACATATTTGCATTCCCGAGACTGCTGTGATTCTGTGTTCTGTATATCTGGTCATTAATGAGAAAATGGTGTTCTGATAGATTAACTAGTTCATGCATATTAATGAGTTCCTATGACACCTTACTCAAACAACGGAGATATACTTTACAGTTGAAATATCCCTGAAGTTTGGTTCGTAGCGCTAACATTCATTAATACATTATAGAAATGTAAATTTTATCATCACATCGAAATCATGTCATAGAACACAGAACACAGCCTGTAACATGGTCTACAATGTTAACCTAAGCAGGACTTCCGGCTGTTCACAAACTCTTCCGCCTCCATAATACTCTTCCGCGCTGCTTAACTATGTATTATGAAGACGTGATTATTGCTGCAGAGTTCGAAGAGGCCAGTCTTTTGAATGTTGATGGTTTTTTTCAATAATATTATGAATTTGACAAAGACCAAAACATAGCCTAGTTTCGAGCATTGGTCTTAGTGAGGTTGATTACCGGTATTCAAGATGAAACTATGGTACTGTTCACCAAGAATATTAGATAAAATACTTAATTTTTTCTAACGTACATTGTACGTAAACGCACCAATATAACAGTTGAGTAGGCACATTAGTGCTGCTGCCAGTTCTGCGTCTCAATAGTGTAGTCATAAAAATAAATAGATATTTCGAAAACTTCAACAACATCAGCTGTCATTGTTGGAAAGGATTTATCTTACAAGTATGCTGTATGTCTGGATCTATTATGTATTAAGTGAGTAGAAAATATCGCAGAAATTAAAACACAAATACGGTCGTACTTCTGAAATGTCTAAATGAACAGCACCGATGCTTATTTTGTGACATTTTTGTTAGTTACTGTTGCTATGGCGTACTCAAATATACCGAAGAGTCTCAAAATTTGGCGGCAGCATTAAAACTACCGAGAAAATTGTACGTGAAATTAAAATCTGCGTTTTCGTGACGATGATGGTTTTAATTGATTTTGACACTTTAGCATACTGTACACTCTTTATCTTCCTCCAGCTTTGATGATACTCAGAAAAATCTTTATGTCTGCGTTACATTATCTTTTTAATCCACTAACCAATATTATGGCAGAAATTAAGGTTCTTGAACGAGCCTTTCTAAAAAGTACGTTTACATATCATACAAAATTAGTGATGCACTCAACTTCCTTGTTATGATTTTTTTCCAATTTCGCTGTAGCAGAATCCCTAATCTATTAACACAATAAAGTAGAAGTTTCCATTTCACAGATTTTGGGGGAAAAAATTCATTTTCTTTTTCTCGCAATTTGTCACGTTTGCAAAAAAAAAAAAACCCAAAACAAAACAAAAAAGGCAACATTCAGCGAAATTTCAACCTGGTGTTAATAGTGTTTGTGTTTTATCACGGTGTCCACATTGCTTTAACATTGATTATTAGATTCACACTTATACTACGGTGGTCAGCATTGGATTAGAAGTATCTTATTGTGTGATGCCTTTTATTTGAAACTTTCAATAAAGCGTTTGGTAGATGATGATGACAAGTTTTACTCAATAACACAAAAATATTTCGTTTATGATTTGGGTTTTTTAAAATTGCAGGTATTCATTATTTGCCTACACATATGTAATATCATCAATTTCATCAAATTTCTACAACTACAAGGGTGTGTATGGGACAAGTAAGGGACAAATCCCAATGCTAGAATTAGCAATCTCCGTGATTCTATTTAATGTTCAGGGACCAGCAGGTACCCCATTCCAGTTATAAAGAACAGTAAATAACACAGAATGATATTTTGACAGTTTTAATATCTGTGGAGGGTTTATAAAGAGCGTGTACACGTTAGGACACAATACGTTACACATTGGTGACAGATATACTCAATCTGGGAATAACTTCTTGTATAAAAGAAATATGTTTTTATTAATCAAAGTTTACATTACATACCAGGAACTTAATAGAAAATTGATAAACAAATGGTTGTAATCATGACACATGACCATTAACCAAAAATATCAAAGATGCGTTTTCACAATTTATATGTTAACATCAAAAATACACACGTGGATTAAACATAATACACATATAAGAAAAATAAACAAGCATAATTTCATTGTTACACTACGACACGTGTGTTCGCTGTAAACATTATTATCATAATCTATATGCCGTTCTATTACTTAGAGTATATCAGTAACATTTTGTTTATAAACTTTTGTTTTCAGCATTATTTCATTTTTATTTCATTTTTATACAAATGTACAGGGGAATGATAATATACAAGTGTTTACAAATACATCATACTTTCACGCCATTTCTGTCATTTCAGCCGTTTTCATACGTCAACTTACAAACCTGATCCATACAATGACACACGCCCATTGCTCTCGATGTGTTTACAAGAATTGTTTTAATTCACAGGAATTATATATTCTTGTGCTTGTATAATTTACAAACGTATACCAAGTTAAAGAAAAGTTGTTACTTGATTATTTTTTCATCGTAATTCGAGAATGTCAACACGATACACATTACATACTTAAGTGGATTGGTGTCGGAGATGAACATGTTGTATCGACACTTTGCGCCGCAATCATTGACGCCATGTTGAATGCTGTATCCTGGGAATGACCCCTATACCGATATCATCATCTTATCAACATCCGGGTTATAGCCATCAATAGACACTACAATCCTAGGTAAACATTTTAATCCATATAACCTACGGATTGTGGAAACAAAAGTCAGGAAAATTGGAAAATTAGAAGTTAATCATAATACAAGTTATAATGGTAAGATAGAAACAGATTTGACAACATGCTAAAAGTTCTTTGCAAATATCCCTTTTGTGCCTATTACTGATTAGCCATTCTAACTTTTGAAAAGAGTTTGTTTGAGTTCGAAATTCTGGATCTCGTCGACACTACAATTTACTTAGTTAAATGTTTTGATTTTTCGGTAGGAGTACAAATCCGGAACTTTAGATCTAAACCCAGAAAATCAAAAGATATCAGTAATTACAACTATACTCCTGGCCGAAATTGACGACAGATCTTAAGTGGTAGACTTAAAACATGGATATAAACCACTGTTAAATAACTTACTGACGGGATTTATCCACCACTGTACTTCAAACAAATTTTATAACGGACGAAAATAATTTTCTGTCAATAAATTTGGTTCGATAAGGTTTATCTTTCTTAATCTGCGGCGATGTTCATGTCCTGTTTTGCTCTCGTAAGAAAGGCGAAACATGAGAAGCAAAAACGACGTAATTTCCCGTAGTTAGGTCCACAAGTGTTAAGTATAAGGGATCATTTTTGTGGTAAGAAGGAAAAAATAAAGTAAATTATTGTTGTATCGATGTTTACACAACTTACCGATACAGACTCAATAGTAGGACAAGTGTTTACTGAAAGTCCTATAGAGGGTGATGTAAGGATTATCTTAAACTTTAGTCCAGGTGTATGTCTTATAGAATCTTAAATGGTAAAATGGTAAAATGTTCAACTACTTGTGAAAATGAAAAAAAGAAACACACCACCTAAACACTTGATAAATCCTATTATAGATGTAGACTCGGAAAACATTTCATTCAATTGGGAGATGTCTGCTGTTCAAATGTAATTTCCATTTCTAATTTTTGATATGTGTATTTCCAAGGCTATATACTTGGATTATTGATTTGATCCAGGACATCTCGGTATAAAATCAGTCAGATAAAGTAGATAAAGTCAGATAAAATTTGATATTAGAGTCCTAACATTTCCATAACCTGTTGGGTCTGTTGAGCATTCATCTGACCTATACCTCCCGGTGGAGGTCCTCGCCGTCCACCCATACCACGTGCCATTGGAGAACCAATAGGAACGGCGCCTGGTGGAATGATATCTGGAGGATCTAAAGGATCATAAACGGGTCTGTGCCCGCCCATTCCTCCACCCATTGCTCCCGGAGAACCTCCAGACATCGCCATATTCCACATTTGGTCCATGTTTGCCGGTGATTGTGGGCCCATTCCACGCTGGCCATAAGGATACTGTCCTGGGTATGTAGGACTTGCACCAAAACCAGCCCCACTCGGCGGTACATCGGCTGGTTCGACCGTTGGCACGGGCATGCCAGAGGGACCAAATCGCCTGTTATACATACCCGGGCGTCTTCCACGCCTTCTACCTCCCGCTGGAACATCTGGGGGCTCGGGCACTAACCCTAACATCTGAAGGATTTGATTGGTCATTGCACTCTGTACTGCCATAGCGATAGGATCGGCTGGTGGTGCTCTAGGACGGGCAGCCGTTCCTGGCAGACTTGTCGGTTTGCCTATACCTGTCGATGTAGCACCGGGTGCATTGGATAACCTTGATCCTGTGCCAGTAGATGATGGTGGTCTTGCTCGTCTTGGTGGCGGTGGAGGGAGTCCAAGGACAACGCGTAGTTCAGGTAAAATATTTAATAAAGCCACATTAACTGAGCCTTTGAGCTGTTGAGGGTTGATGCCAAGTGAACTAAGGAAGTCAGGGCCAGTTGCGTACAGAATAGTATACAGTTCCTGACTAGTTGTCGCCATTGACCGGATTAACCTTAGCATCACATTTCGTGTTACTGGGTCGACTGAGCGTGGACTGAGGTCATTAACATCAATCAGAACAAGAGGCGTGGTCGATACCGGTGCAAGTGTAGTTGGTGGAGGAGTTGGTGCTTGTGTGGTGCCAAACAAGTTTCCAAAAGGTCCAGATGTCAATTCGGTGTTACCGGCTGCAAGTCCATTAATTAGTCCACCAGAATTCCATGTGGATGACGGTGTTTGTGAAGCAGCATTTGTGGTATCGGTAGGATTTCCAGTTGGAAGAACAGCGTCCCAAGTTGTGGCAATAGTGGTGGCATGTGATGGAACCGATCTGTCAACAGGAATGGAAGGCGTGGTGGCAGGATTGGTTTGTGGATTCCATGTATCAACAGGTGTTGTATTGATGGATGTGGCTGGAGGAACAGTCGTCGGAGGTGTGGCAGTGACAGGGGTGGTCGGCTCATTAAACCATGTGGTCTGCATCGTTGGTGTTTGTGTTGGTGCAGATGTTGTTGTGTCTACCCAAGTAGTTCTTTCTTTAACTGTTGTACCTGCATTTCCCCACTGGTTCATTTTGTTAGTACCCGGGGTTGTTCCTGTTACCGAGTCACCCCATTGGTTCACTTTGGTAGTACCCGGGGTTGTTCCTGTTAACGAGTTCCCCCACTGGTTCATTTTGTTAGTACCCGGGGTTGTTCCTGTTACCGAGTTCCCCCATTGGTTTCTGGTCATTTGTGTCATACCTGTGTTACCCCACTGGTTTCCTGCTGGTGTCGTTGGATTCCAGACAACATTTGTAGGTCTGTTAGCCGGCACTCTATTCATAATAGCAGCATTTGATAGACTTCCCGCGCTCAATCCGATAAAATAAGCATCGGTAACGGGTGTGGGAGTAGTGGTTGGCGTCGTTGGTTCAGGAGTTGTTGTTATGGTAGTAGGAAGTGTTGTTGTTGTTGGTGTGGTAGTAGTTGTTGTTGGAGTTGTTGTAGTAGTGGTCGGTGTTGTAGTGGTAGTTGGAGTTGTTGTAGTGGTAGTTGGAGTTGTAGTAGTGGTAGTTGGAGTTGTAGTAGTGGTAGTTGGGGTTGTTGTAGTGGTAGTTGAAGTTGTAGTAGTGGTAGTTGGAGCTGTAGTTGTAGTGGTGGTTGGAGTTGTAGTGGTAGTTGGAGTTGTTGTAGTGGTGGTTGGAGTTGTAGTTGTAGTTGTAGACGGAGTGGTTGTTGTGGACGTTGTTGTAGCCTTTTTAGTTGTAGTTGTTACTGGTACAGTTGTCGATGGTGAGGTTTGTTTAAAACCGCCTGTGGCATCACTAACAGTTCTGACACCTTGATCGCTCTGACCTGTAGCATATTGCGACATATCTACACTCACAGTGCTAGGAACTACAACGATCGGTTGTGATTCTGTTGGTGTCTGATTGTCTGCAACGTTTATCAAGCCCGGCTGTGAGGGTTTAGCAAACTGGGATTGTGCGTCCGACGGGACTGCAGCTTGAACGGAATTGTCCATGTTTACTGCTTGCGCATTTGTTTGAGTCATGAGATCAGACAGAATCCTGAACATATTTGCGAGAAGGACGTTGGTATTCCCAGCTCCCCCACTCTGCATAGATGTCAGTGCATTCATCATGGAAGCGGGATTGGTCATTCCAGTCAATCCCGCTGACTGCCCAGAGACAGAATTGGAGTCAGGGTTGTTGTATCCAGCATCAAATCCAGAGGGAACTCCTGCTTGGGCATTCATTTGCACGACCTGTGGATTCGTACCGGAAGCGTCGGTGCCAGTGTTAAGACCATCCACTGCATATTGATTCTGCGCGCCCTGGTCGAACGTGTTCCACGGGTTTACAGTTGTTTGCTGGTTGAAAAACGTGTCTACTCCAGTTGTGAATGGCATGTATGGTGTTGTTATATGGAGAGGGGGTCTAGAAGTCGTTGTTGTAGTTGTTGTTGTTGAGAGAACTTTGGGTTCTGTTACTATGACTGCGGGTTCAGTTACTACAACTGTCGGTTCCGTGACAACAGTTGTCGGTTCCGTTGCTATGACTGTAGGGCCTGTAACTGGAGGTTCCGTGACAACAGTTGTCGGTTCCGTTGCTATGACTCTAGGTTCTGTAACTGTGGGTTCCGTAACAACTGATGCAGCCTCGGTAGATTTTTGTACTGTTGGAGAGTTATTACTTAGTACACTCGATTTGTTTGTGATTAGACCATTAGTCTTCGTCTGTGTTGCTACCGAAGATTCTGCTGTAACGACATCAACGTTATTAACAAAGCCCTGTGTTGTAGTTTCCATTACATTAACGTTATCTTGGTTCATTTTAATATTGGTCTGAACTGCTGTTTCCGCCATCGATTTGATGTTTTGTGCAAGAGCATCAGCTCCAGATTGCTGTGTGCTCTTTGCCAAGGCAGATACACGGTTTGCCATAGCCATTATTTCTTTCAGTATTCCCCCGAGATCGACCTCTGCATTATCTGCAGCTACTACGTCTGATGATTCCGTGGAAGTAGGTGTAGCTTGGGTTGTCGTTGTCTCTATCTTAGCAGTTGATGCATCAGTAGGGCTAAAGACTACAAAACCATCTGGAAGTCCCATTCCTTCACGTAAACTAAGGTTTGGTTCGACCGTCGTGGTTGGCTGGGTGGTGGTGGGTATAGTAGTAGTTGTAGTGGTGGGTTCTGTTGTAGTTGTGGTAGGTTCGGTGGTGGTAGTTGTAGGAGGCGGAGTCGTAGTAGTGGTTGTAGGCGTAGTTGTGGTTGTCGCTTCAGTGGTTGTAGTCGTTGGCGGGGGAATAGTTGTTTCTGGTTCTGGATCAACAATGACAGCAGACGCCAATAACGTACCGAACTGATTATTTCTATTAAGACCAGGGTGGCGTGTCAGAAGCTTGGTCGCAAGTACGCCTGGTCGAGGAGTAGTCGGTGGAGGAGGGGTGTACTGCTCGGCTTGACGGGCCCGTTCAAGGTAACGAGCAGATGCTAAGGTTCCCTGAGCAGATAGTGTGTTTCCAGCGACGGCGTCAATGACGGTGTTGGACGGGATAGTTTCCAGCATGAAGGATCCGTCAGCTCTCATTTTAGGGGTCGAAAAACCTGACAAAGTACGGCCTCGATTATTTTGCATACCCATACGTCCTTGTCGTTGCGATCCCACGTTAGAACCAGCATTATAATTAGCTTGTCCAGTCATTCTATTAGCTGTGTTTTCATTTTTTGTTGGTGTAAGGAATGCATTTCTTCCCATGTTATGTCTGCCTGCCTGGCTCCCAACATTTGAACCTCTTGGTTTCCCTAAGTCGCCGAAAGCTTCTCTGAGTTTTTGTGAAGATGTTGTCCGTTTGATAGCAGGAGAGTTTACCGTGAATCCGGCTGACAAGTTAGGGTTATATTGGTTGTTTAAATTTGTGTCTACTACTTGCTTGGCTAATGGGTTAACTCTGGAGTTTTTAACCATAGCAAGACGCGACGTTGACGAGAGCGATACACCTCCGACTTCTCCTTCATTTGTAGACATGGCTCCTTGCCAAAGTGATGTACTCCCCACTCGTCCCGATTCTTTATTGTAACTAGATGGCATTCCTACACTGAAAGCCTGCTCACCAGGCATCATAGTACCACCAGGAAGCTGCGTCTTGCTGTTCAGTCCAGATGATCTACCCTGGTTTAACATATCAGTGTCTATAAGCGTTGTCCAGCTCCCTCCTGAAGGTGATCGACTGCTGGCAGTTGTTCCTTGTATAACACTTCTTACTGTGCGTCCTAGTGCAGTCGCGGTATCCGCGCCGCTTTCTGTTTGGCTGTTCTGTTCAGCAGTTCGAGATGTATCGCCAACAAATGGTAGTTGGATAATGTTAGCGGACGCCTTGGCCTTCATATCCGGATCTACTTTTATATTTACAGGAGCAGCGGTATCTATATTAAAAGAGGGGTCATGCTGTATTTGTATCTGGGAGTTTGCCATCCTATTCGCCATCTGATCTGTAGATATCTTGTCATTGAATTCGAAAATTGGAATGACACTCCCGGTAGAAGTCGATTCTGTCGATGTAGGCCCAGTCACTGTAATATAGTCTGTAGATGTTGTCTTTTTAGCGGGCTCTGACTTTGTGACAGATTTTGTAGTTCCTCCCTCGGTATTCACTGGCAGATTCACAAGTTTTCCTTCTATAGACTGACTTTCCATGTTCCCAACAGTCGAGTAGGTTCCTGTAAAAACAGTTGGTTTCGGAGCTCCAGACACCTTTACAGTGGGATTGCTTTCAAATTCCACCTGTTTTTGTATTTCTGTAGCTATAGTTTGGGGTTTAATTGTTGTAACTGGCAGTTGGTCAGCAATACTTGCTTTAGTTTCCAAATTTGAGATAATATCAGATTGGGTTTTGATATTGTTAACTTCTGTGTTGACGCCGGTATTAACATTAACATCAAATTGCTTGTCTACACTTTTCTCAGCATTTACGTCAGTATGCTGACTCGGAAGTACATACTGCGAAGGATCAGGCTCCATATTTGTCCCAACACTCGGTGAACCGGAAGTGATACTGATGTCTGCACAGTTATAAAATTCCTCTTGATCCCCACATCCGAGTCCGCTGCTCTGGTCTGGACAGATCCCCCAGTTCATGGCTGAAACATAAAAATGTATTCGATCATAAGACACATCTCAATATTTTAAGTAGATTAATGCAAAGATTGTAAACTTAGATAAACTAAGTGTTTTAATGAACACGAATTATCAATAAAATTATCAATTATTAATAAAATAAAGTTTACTATATTGGTACAAAGTAACATAATCAGATTTTAATCATACTATTTCTAATCGTCTATGGTAAAGAAATTTTGAACATTGTGGTGGGTGGGGGAAGTTGTTTCAAACAAGTACTATTTGGGCGGTCGGGTGGATCAGTGGTAACGCACTCGCCTTTCACCTAGCCGACCGGGGTCCGATTCTCGGAATGGACGTGAAAAGGTAAGGGGTCACCTGCCCGACCACGTGGGTTTTCCCCGGGTACTCCGGTTTCCTCCCACAATAAGACCCCTCGCGCGCTTACATCCGGGCCAACAAGAGTGATTAGTATAAGTTGACATAACTTGTTTTGCAATTGTTGTAAAACAAATAAATTTCATATTAAACAAGTACCATTTCGTTCACAACTGATTTCGTGTATAAATACAGCTCACTAAATGTACTTATAAAGATTTTTAAAAGTTTGTGGACATATCAATATGTCGATACAGAGTATATATTTTTTCAGAGATAAAATTCATGGAAAAAAGTGTGTCACGGTAAAACTAAGTTTGATCTCATGAAAAATAATCGCAGGTTTCGTATATACGTCATGGAAAGAACGAGGCACTGAAAAGTAGGTCAATGTACAGAAATGAGTTCAGTTTCGTGACTATCATTGGTTAGTGTATTTCCTAGATAACTATTGCCCAGTGTAGAATTACTGTTCCTACTGGTGAATACGCCGACACTAAATAGCTCATGTAGAACTGGTGAGAATATTATATAGATAAACGACAGAATGAACAAATTAATCATGTTATTGACCATCGTGTTACAGTACATTATTAAATATTGATAGGATGTCCATGATTCTGTCATGATTCTATCACTCTATCTATATATGTGAATACCTTACACTCAAACGACAATAACTGTTTATGTAAGTAATCGTATATAGCGTAGTATAGACAACATCTCCGACGACACTGTACAAGATAAATGTGTAGTATTTACAAAGGTTCAAGCTAGGTTACAACAAAGAAGACCAGATGTTCAATATTCAGACAATTTGCATGACCAGCAATATTTTTACTTCTCAAGATCTCTCCGGCATATCACTACAACACAGGCAAACGTCTCCCAGACGAATAATTGTATTCACAAACTTAACAATTGTTTGTTTATAAGGAAATATTTTTATCGTTTTATTTTATTTAAAAATCTATCGTTTTTTATGTTTTACGGATAAATCATTATTTTTTTCAATCTTAAAACTAAAAGTATTTTAGTGATATCAAACTTCTTAACTAATAAAGATAAAATTCTAGATCTGTTTTAAAGGGGTTATGTATCAAGCGAAATGACACAAAATTATTGTTTTGAAGTTTCAAAGTCCTCATCAGAGAGTTGATACAAAAGTAATTCAATATCTATAAGCTTTTTGTTTTCTTTATCATTTTGTGATGGCATCAATGTTCGCGGTTTACTCCATCATATAACATTATAACTATCTGCCGTATTTTTCCAGATAACAAACATTTGTGGAAAAGTTTGATCTGAGAAACTTTGGAAACATTGGAACCATATACCGTATTTGTTCCAAATACCAAACATTTTGTTGAACAAAATTGATCTGAGAAACTTTGGAAACCTCCTTGGAACAAATGATAAATTCAGATTTACTATCAGCATGCTTAGAAAGGTTCTGAAGAGCGATGACGATCAGTGCAATGAAGGCGAATGGTTCGCTCATTTATTATCGGATCACATAGCAGCATAGGATGTAGGATACAGGTTTTGTCAAGACAATTCACTGGTCACCTGACTGTCAGAACTAGCCGACCTTAATACATCTACATCTTATTTATTTATTCATTTATCTATTTATTTATTAGTTCTATATTGATTTATTTATTTCTTTTTTTTTGTGTGTTTGTTTTTAATTTGTTTATTTATTTTCTTTTCCCTTTGCTAACAATTTGATTAACTATTGTTTATTCAGACTTAGCGTTAAATAGAGGCTTGGCTTAATCCACATGTCAATTAACTAATAATACCCCTAAAAAGAAATGTCAAAATGGCGACTTTTTCTGTTTCTATTGACATGTCCGGTTTTCTTTACTATTCTAATACTCGAAAGAATTACTTGTGCCCAATTTTCATGTTTAGGTTTTGACAATCCGGATTTACCTTCATAAAAATGGTACACAATACACCCGCGATAAAAAAAAGTGAGGAGGGGGAGGGGGGACGAGGTCGGGAGTATAACATTTCATTATTTAGAATTAATTAGAACTCTGAAATAACAATAGTACATGAAACTTTGATTATCTGTAACGTCTCGAACTGACCAATACGTTACATATCACCTAACAATATGGCCTCTAGTAATGTACAGATAGTACTAGCTAACATGCTGTCAGACAGGTGTCAGTGCAGAACATGGCAGATGGACAGCTATGACAGTTTCAATGCTTCTTGCACGAAGTAGAACAGCATCTGGTGATTTACATGGGAAAATATAAAACAGACAAGATTTTTATGGTTTTATGGAAGATCTCACCAAAATGACAAAATAAATACAGCTTCTTGGTGATTTTTGGTTATGTTTTGAGGTAAGTGTCATGTGTATGATTTGTCTGGGGCTGAACTTATCCTCATTAAAACGTCTAATTACTATTCTGTATTAAATATTGCACATAAGTTTACGTCTGGGTAACGAAGTGTCGTACTTAGATACACAACTGTTATCTGTCAGTTTAAAAACCACATAGAAGATATTGTCATGTCAACATAATGTTCTTTCACTCTCTAGTTCGCTGAATCTAGGGCAAAATTATGAACATAATATTATTTCAGTAGTACGATGTCGAAAATGATTTCGAACATAAAAAATGGTGACGCGCACCTGTAGACAGGTGATCCACCTTGTAATTTGACCTTGTACTTATAACAATGACCGACGTTGACCATTGGTCAGGGAAGGTGCATAGGTCGATATCAATAAATCGATATTCATGATAGGAATGACCACGTGGGCTGACAAGGTATGGGATCGTTTTTCGTCCAGTTGATCACGAACTGTTTTCTCGATTCTAATTATTCTATAATACCAGACTTAGTTCGGAGGTTCTCCAACCTCGATACTCTGGTGGTTACGGTCATTTCGTTCTCTGCATCCATGGAACATATCATAGCAAGATTGAAGGTCCCATGTGCGAAACCTTGTGGTCAAGACAAAAAGGCTAATTTGATCCTTTGATGTACATCAAATGAATATCGAGGTCGTATAACTGTATATTGTAATGGCTTTGAGTTGTGTGTCGATCCTTTGAAATTTTCAAAAGGAGCGTATCAGCCTGTGATTGATTGGTCAGTTTGTTTTCCTGGAGCCAATCAAATTACCTCGCTAGTGCCTCCAATCTTTCCATAACATGTTCCAGGAGTGGAGATTGCGAATTGATCGTAACCTCTGGAGTATCGAGAATTTGGTGTCTCCAACATGATCTCCCTAATGACAACGAACTTTGAGATGGGAACACACAACACTGTGCGATGTTATATTTCACATACAAAACATTAAAAGGAATATACTGACATTAACTTGTTATTAATTATATAACACTACCTATGAATTAAAATGAGCACAAAATTGAATAGACAAATACATAGAGACCATCAGCAACTTGAAAGCGTACAATCATTACAAGACCAGGTGTTCCGGAAGGATAACATATATTATAAGATTTTACGATATATTTGCTTTCTTTTGTCCTTACTTTTTAAAACAAATTGTCCTACTTGTTTCATTGATATAGAACATGTTATCATGTCATTTTTTCATTGGATATAATACAGCATTTCATTACATAAAAACAACAAAAAATAGCACTTGCACAAAATCATAATCAAGACCAAGACACACTATAACTACGGCAAAATATGAATTAAAGAAAGCTTTACATTGATATTCCTGAAAAAGTACTATGAGAAAAAGACCAGGTGTTCCGGGAGAGTAAGCCTCTTCTGCTTCATCGCTTCGTTCTCATATGAAAGCAAGGTATACAACAGCGGAACCAACAGGAAAATTATCGAGAATCAAACATGATCCACTTACAAATTGCACATTGTAACAGCATACACATTATACATCGTGCACAAAACAATATCTTATTTGTAATTTCAATGTGCTCGTATCACTTATGGATCATCATCCTGTTCCAGTAGAAAATAAGTAAACTCATTTAGCATAACAAAAAGATATTTCCATGGCAACCATAAATCTGTCGTTTATCTCTCATTTGTTGGCATCCTGCATGAACAAACCACTTAAATTCAAGCCAGCTGCGACATGCAGATACTGCAGGTTTAGGAAGCAATGAGTTTTCATCGAGAAAAGCAAATTCTAAATCAGGACATGAAAACGACCGTACTTATTATACAGTTGTACGTACCGGGAAAGATTGAGGTAATGTGATGATAAAGAATCATTTGTCATGTCCTTCACTTTGTTATGGTCGATATTTACGATATGCAAGGCCAGTACATTTAATTAATCAAATGCAGTCGACATCGTTATATCGAAGTCGACATTGCCATTGGAAAACCTCGTGTTATCCTATTATCTTATTCTAGTGAAACCGAATGTTTGGTGAAAACGATTGGCCGAGACAGATGAAATACTTCGAATTAAATGAGATAACGAGGATCGACTGTACACAAATTAATCATTTAAAACTTACCAGTATGCCATTTCCACTGCAGAACACAGTGTTCACACGTGACGTCTTTGGGCATATTCAGTTTCAGATATATATTGCCTTCCTTGTCCGGATGGTATCGTTTCCCGTGACCGTTGATGTCTAGCACATGTTGATCAAGACATTTCTGAGTTACTGGCCTTGTTTCACTTACATCCGGGCAAAGTCGAAATTCAAAATATCCCAACATGTTTTTCTTAATTTCGATAGTGACGTCAATAAATTCATCACTAGTTGAATATCTCTGTACTTTAATTCCTCTAGCGAAATGATTTTTGTCTTCATTTGGTTTCGGATTGATGTCTGCAGGATCTCCACAAACACCACAGCGCCCTCTGTTGATCTGCCATTGGTACTGAAATACAATGAAGTATGAGTAAAATAGCTTTCTCATTAAATACGATATTGTTGGAATATTTGAATTTATTATGCATTTTTTATTTTATTTTATTTACAACTACAGTATTCTATGAAACCCTTTTTTTTTGCAGTTATATTCGTTTCATAACACTAGCGAAGAATAAAAATCCTGTAATGTTTTCCAACAATGACAAGTGATGCAAATCTTTAAAAATATTCAGTAACATGTGAGAAGGAAGCACGTGTTAAAATAACGCAAACAGTATCGTGTTGACAACGTATATAAACAATCTGATTTTTTGTATCAAAAACATTGAACAGGAAAACACGTTTAATCATTAGAAAATTAAATAAAACATAAATATTTGTATATTAAAAATAACAGTAAGAAAGAATATCATAAAAGGCAAACAAATTAATGACACCTTTCAACAGAAATTAAGTTTTAGAGTTTATCATGAGGCAGTGTCGTCTTTCTATGACTCATCAGTGGTGGTACGGGGCCTAGTAAGTTAGAGGTTGACTCGGGAAATTCACAAACTGTCCTAAATGAATGTCAAAATTTAGATAAGGATTTGCGAAGACCGTCTAATTTGATGATGAAAAAATTAATTTTTTGCCAATAACCTAGTTAAAAATATATTTTCACATTAAAACGGACTTTGTTAACTATATCGATTTTCCTTTCAAAATGCTTTTTTAAAAATCTTTTAAAATTAGGGAAAATAAACCACATTCCTTAAAAGACCAACTTTGAAAGTAATTTAACAAAAAGAATGCAAATGTATAACACTCATTTATTAATATGATATAAATCGTCCGTTCTCCAACATGACTTTACATACTTACGGAATATGTATAACGTTTTCTGGACCTGTTATTTGCTTACGTGCCTACACATATTTAGAATGATATATTACCCTAAGCCTGCTGTCGTCATATCAACCTTAACACCTATGAGTAATTAGAAAATACCAGATGATAATAGGTAATAATCACGCGCTTGTATGTAAGCATTTGATATGTAGCACAATTATCACAATTAGAGTATAATGCATTACAAATGTTGTCAGATCGAGGCTTTTCACATGATGTTTCTGTCACTTTGATATTTTATGGCATCGCCGTCTGCGACATTGACGTAAGCTACACACTCAACACGTTATTTAACCGCCGTAAAGCAAATTAAAGTGTATACTTCATATTTTATGTCACCTATTTTCGTGAGGCTCAAATTGCGTGACCTTACAAAATATGCATTTTCGTTGGCACATGATTTCTATATTTATCTATGAGGAACACCTCTATATTTATCTATAAGGTACACCTCTATATTTATCTATAAGTTACACCTCTATATTTGTCTATAAGGAACACCTCTATATTTATCTATAAGGTACACCTCTATATTTATCTATAAATATAGATATAGACTATAAGGAACACCTTTATATTTATCTTGGATTATCCTTGTCTATAAGGAACACCTCTATATTTATCTGTAAGGTACACCTCTATATTTGTCTATAAGGTACACCTCTATATTTATAAGGAACACCTATATTTATCTATAAGGTACACCTCTATATTTATCTATCAGGTACACCTCTATATCTATCTATAAGGTACACCTCTATATTTATCTATAAGGTACACCTCTATATTTGTCTATAAGGAACACCTCTATATTTATCTATAAGGTACACCTAACGTCAATCTCACTTACTATGTTTACCAGTAAAGATGCGTGTTTTTAACTTGATACAAAAAACGGAATAGGGAGGTTAATATAATAAGGATAAAATACAATTATGTATGAAGGAATAGATTATATAACACAAAAAAGCAAATAAACAAAACAAACAAAAAAGCTACATTATGTTACATATTTACAAAGAGTTTTCACAGTATGTGAATACTAACAACGTTCATATTATGGAATACATTGATATGATATCATCTTTTGTCCTCCATGTATGTTATATATTGTTAGTAACGGTTTCAGTATGCCTCTTAATAAATAGACTAAAGATTGAACAAAAGACACACCAGCGAATAGCACATTTTAGGCATTTATATTTAGATACAGTAGAGCCAAACAATAAATTAAATTATATCATACAGCTGTTTCGTCCTTCTCGGACTCGTCAGTTATGCTACATCATACAGCTGTTTCGTCCTTCTCGGACTCGTCAGTTATGCTACATCATACAGCTGTTTCGTCCTTCTCGGACTCGTCAGTTATGCTACATCATACAGCTGTTTTGTCCTTCTCGGACTCGTCAGTTATGCTACATCATATAGCTGTTTCGTCCTTCTCGGACTCGTCAGTTATGCTACATCATACAGCTATTTCGTCCTTCTCGGACTCGTCAGTTATGCTACATCATACAGCTGTTTCGTCATTCTCGGACTGTCAGTTATGCTACATCATACAGCTGTCTCATTATCATTCAGTGACACACATACATATATCGTCCTTCTTGGACTCGTCAGTTATGCGACATCATACAGCTGTTTCGTCCTTCCCGGACTCGTCAGTTATGCTACATCATACAGCTGTTTCGTCATTCTCGGACTCGTCAGTTATGCTAATGACCTTTGATTTGAAGCCTTCGACTAAGTCTGACGAAAATTTGAATTGATCGATAGAAAAGTCAAAATCTGAACGGGGAGGTGCCACAACTCCATAATAAAATAAATTAAAGTAAATTACGTTGTATTATATTATATGTACACTTGGAGGTTTGTTATCTTCATAGGTTTGTATCTACGTTATCTAATCTCTTTTGTCTGTGTAATTAAATTATCATATTTCATTAGACACACTAATATATCTGACAGCCAGCAATATCCTACTGAATGAAATACGGGATCACCATGGATACTTGACATATATAACTGATTTCTTAAAATTTCTTAAAATCGTTCAAATAGAGAAGATATAAAGCATTATTTCCAAAAATCCCCATTCATGGTACTTTTATTTCATGTTAGTTGCTGAGCTGTTACTGTGGTGTCTCTGTTGAAAGGTGATATTGTACCGTCACTACGGTTGCTATGGAGACAGTCTTCATTGTTCGTGACGGGACAATACACATGTTGAACACTCGCTACAGAAAGTCACGATGTCTGACTGAAAATAGAACTTTTTATAAATTGGACAATTAATGCTGTCTTGAGATATGAGAGAAAGAGTTATTTTGTGGTAAGGGTCAGCGTCTAGTGACAATTAAAAACAATTTTATAAACAGGAACTATTTGACATCGCGGAGTAAACGGTAATTGTTCCTAGTGAACTACTGCCTTAGGCGGAGTATGAAATGTAGTTGCACTGCCCGTGGAAGCTTTCACGTACTCAAATGTCGTACATACTATCTGCTTTATCATAATACCTGACCTGGCCTATATATCGTATTTATGTTTTCATAGTTCAGCAAACGATATACAAATAAAACTATCTTACAGAGAGATATAGAGACAGCGTACACAATTATCTTCAACCAAATGATGCACACTAATAATACGGACCTGAAACACCAAAGAAATCTTAATATTCTAGATAAATGTTTACAGTACCCGAGATAAAGCAATTGAAATATTTAAGCATATTATCTCACCGTAAAAGAAAATAAGTAAGCAAATATGAAAACAGATAAATAAGAAATGGCAAGGAACATGAAGAAAATTGATAAACCCATGAATAGAAATAAATCGATGTATTCAGGAAAGGAAAGAAGAGCTATGTTAAAATATTCGAACAGACAGGTGCTGAGAATCTAGCTTCGATTTTGTGGCCGTGACAGGAAGTGACGTAGACCACATTCCTACACAAACGTTCATTGACGAGTATAGGTGATAACTATTGTGGTTAGTCTACATCAAATGATCAATCATATGTGATATTATACATTCCATCCCAAAGAGTATGATTGTAGTATTCGTATCAGGTCAAAGGTCAATACATAAACAGTACACTGGATGTGATGACGACAATGTCGTTCTGCTGTTGAACAGACATGTCGATACAAAGGTACTCTTAAACATTACGACCCGTAGACATAATGACTTTGGCGATATTAAGACTTTGCTGTGTCATAGCATAGTAATGCTTTATTTTACCGTCAGTCTCGTTGTGAGTAGCTATCTTATTATATAGAATAGAAGTTTTAAAACAGAAATTTATTGTAGAAAAGAACCACTACAGCATTGCACATTTCAAAGGTTTAGGAATAAGATGCAGTTGAAATGCATACCAAATAAAACTAGAAATGAGACCAATTTCTTCCACCGAAGTCTCGACATAATACACAGAGTCAGTGTCGAAACGCAGAATGGACTGAATGAAACAAAATTGGTCGAAAAGATGTTTGAAATGTCGGACGATCCCAACAGACCGCTAGTAGATGTACAAGACTTGTGAGAAAGACAAATTTAAAATTAGAAACAGAGGAGAAAAATAAGGAATTAAACAGTAGCTTCCTTGTAGTTCTCGCCAGTGATGCTAAGGGCATAAAAACTGAAACCAAGACTAAGGAAAGCCAAAACTGAACGAATAGATATCATATTCAGATGATAACTAGTCCCATAATTAATCAGATTTCCTGATTGAGTATAGCGGATTATTTCATAATAACATGAGGGACATGCGTTTATTCTGAACCGTGTCATTAGTAATTGTGAATTTAAACAAGGGTGGTCGGGTGGCGCAGTGCTTAAGCTCTTGTCTTTCACCAAGCCGACCGGGGTTCGGTTCCTGCAATGGACGTGACAAGGTATTGGATCCCTTGCCAGACCACCTGGGTTTTCCCACCTTACTCCGGTTTTTTTCCCTCAGTAAGACCCATCGCACGCTACCATCCAACAAACTGTATAGTATCACTTATTACCATACAACACAGATCTACAAGGACATAACTTAGTAACAATATCGGTATCCTCTCTCTGATTGGTCAGTTATTGATCTTGTTGTACTTTCTACAAATGACGTCATTA